ATATTCTCAATAACACATGTGTAAGTTAGTTGTTGAATAGATGACTTAAAGATGTTGTGAAATAGCCTTCGAAATGAGAGAGATATCCAGAAACTGGTGAGACATGAGACACCAAATATTTTCATGGAGGAACTATCTATATTTGCTTGTATCTCACAGTAAGTATTAGATAAGATGATCTTCTGAAGTCTTTTCTGGTTCCATTTGTGATTCTACTCGTGTAGGTGCAATTTGATTCAAGGAAAAAAAAAGCAAACTGGCTTCTGAAACAAGAGCTAGTCTCAGAGGAATGACTGTTTTTTATATATATTTGGGAAATACTATGTCAGAGAGTAGTGAGGTGCTCTATTCCTTCAGCAGACTTGATTTGACCAAAATTCTAGATAAAACTGAAGTGATGCAGATTTTGATGGAAATGTAATGGTTAACTGAAAACAAACAAACAAACAAACAAAAAAGTAAAAAAAAAAAGTAACATTTAAGACAAGAAGGTAGCAGAAATTTTGGTCTAAACGACTTCTACCCTGGACTGAGTAAGATCATTGCGCTGCACTGGAACACTCCGGAGATGAGATCCACCTGTCCAGTCTTGATTTCTGGAACAGCATTCTAAAAGTGCACTGGTATTTAACCTCTTTGCAGAAAGCAACCTCAGTCTTTATATCTGGTTGTACCTAATTTGTTTTCCTGTTTGAGAGCTAGCTGTGGATCATGGCTTGTTTCTCAGCAGTGAATAAAATCACAGATATGAAAGAAGTAAAATCATTTTTCTCATCTGTAATTTTTGTTTCTCACAATACTTATACAAATGTCCAAATCTGTTGTCATACATTATATCAGGTTGTTTGCAGAAATAGTAATTAATGCTTCTTGTGAAGGGGAGGAGGATTGAATGGGAGGGGAATAACACTCTAATGTCTCTGTACATTTTGTGCATGTTGGTTTGTCTGCCTTTATTTGGCATTTTTTCCAGTACTTCATGAGAAAAGAAGAAAAGCTGTATTCTGGTCAGACCAAGTGTCCTTTTAGCTCAATGTTCTCATGGAAGGCAGCCAGTAAAGGTGCTTTGGGAGAAAAATGTAAAAAGTGCATTAAGTATAGTGAGTCTTTCCCATGGTTGGGTCCCTTAATTAGTGTTTTAGGGACTGCCTTAGCTGAAAGTTGCACACAAGCATGTTTGGTTTAAATAAGCAGTAGAATGTCCGCCATTTGAGAATTTACATGTAGTTCTTTTTTGAGCCCATTTATGCTTTGTGGGTGTCCAGAGTCTTGGTGCAATGATTCACTAACTTAAGTATTATGGGTTGTGAAGAACAAACATTTCGTTTCAGATTTACCACTTCATCGGCTGCCCTCTAGTGTGGGGGTTGTTTTTTTTTTGTTTGTTTTGTTTTGTTTTGTTTTGTTTTCAGTGAGAAATGGTTGCTTGTTGACTTTTCCATACATCAGTCATTCTGCCAGCCTCTGTGCTCTTATTCTTGATGATTTTTCTTCTTTGCTGAAGACTTCAAGTCTGTTTGGCATTGGAAAGTTTGACAGGGCTCCAGTCAGTCTCACAACACTGTGAAAGCACTGCTGGTGGCCAAGGCACTATAGTTTTTTACTTTCCCACCAGTAAAACTGGGCTAATATTTCTTCAATTAACTGAGGTTCTTTTTCTGTGAAGTCCTATTAATGCCTGTTTGCAATTATTATGAATTACAGATTACACCTATAAATTAAGAAGGACCAGCGTATTTCTGAAAATGAAAACTTCCATGAGTAGTATATTATTTAAGTTCCTCTCTTTGTATGCTGTACATAGTCATTGCAATACACTTGTAATAGGTATATTTGTATGGTTTCTCCTTTTATTTTATATAAAGATTTGAGAACACTGAAGGCAATCTTATTACAGCATCTTACTTTAATAAATATGTTGATAAACAGCTCATGTGTCTGAGAAACAAGATGTTAAGTAAAATTTCAGTTAAATAGGAACAGAATTATTTCAGAATGTAAAGTAACAAACACCTGGTTTTGTTTCCAAAGTAAATCATCCATCTATACCTGGTTATGAATTGGATCCAAATCATGACCCAAGTTTGTTGAGCAAAGTTTGTTAAGCAGAATCTTTCCCAAAACCCTGTCAGTCCAATTTTACGGCTTTCTTGCCCATTAGCCAGCAATATGTGCCTGTCTGCAGTGTATCAAACACAGTGTTACTCCCCTTTTGGCTATGCTGTACCCTTTTGGCCTTGCACAGGGGAGTGAGGTTATATGGAGCAAACAGTAGCAGAAAGGACAGTGCGTGTATGGCTTTGGGGGTTTACAATGTATAGTAGTGCTATGCAGTGTGCAGGATTAGTGAAAAGTGAGTAGATCTCTGCTAAACATGAATGTCTTGAATGTGAGGTGGTGGTAGAAAGTCAGCAGCGAGGCTGGTGGGACGTGGCCCAAACAAAAATGTCTCAGTCCTGTTCATTCCTGCATTAGGAGGAAACCGTACTCTGTGATATTAAGAATTAACAAGTGTGTTTAGCACATATCCCTACCTGCTATGTAAGTGTCTTTTATACAGCCTCGTTATAAGGCATTTACCTCCATGAGCTGTTAGTTTTCTGGACTGGCTTCTCTAAGTGCTTCTCTCTCTAATTTTTCATTCATATGGTTGATTACAGCCATTGACAGAAAGGCAGACTTGTCAACACTAGCAGGGTACCTTTGCATTTTACAGAAATAGGTGGCCAAGTGCAGGAGAGACTATAAAATATGCTGTCAGAAGTCTTGATAAACTGCAAAAGACAAATCTGACAAAAATAAGTTTCATTATTAGCAAGAGCTTATGGAACTACTTTAATTAGTTTTCCATAGCTGAGGAATTCTTTACCATATAAGGGTTTATTTTAGATGCAAGCTTTCCATTAGCAGCCAAACACACTGTAAATTTTAATTAAAATAATTCAGACTTCACTCCTCCAAAAGTTGGTGAAATATGTATCTTTGTTTTGTTTGATTTTTTTTTTTTTCATATATTGTATGGAGAGCTTAAGCAGTGAAAAGGATCCAATGGATGGTGTGGTTTTCCTTACTGCCTGCTAGCTTGCGTGGAGAATAAGACACATGTGCAGTTTGCAGCTCCACAACAGAAGTTTGCACTAGACCATGTCATTCTCTACTAAATGTTACTTGGAGCTGCATGCCATACAGAATTTAAAAAGTGGACAGGAAAGTCTGCTGGAAAGCAGAATAAAGACCAGGTCAGCAAGTGAAAGGAGTTGGGCCAATACGTGGCCTGCTGTGAATAATTGAGCCTAAAATTAAGGGGAAATATTTTATGGGTGTTTCCCCTGCATCTTTGTCAGTGTTGTTTTGAGTTACAGAAGTTGAAAGCAAACTACAAGTTTTGGCAAGCAGGCTAATGCTTTCTAACAGAATGGTCATAAATGATGACTTAAAACGTGGTTTTCAAAGTAGTACAAGTGATTGCACTTGTGCTATTATCTAGTAACTCACACAGTGGTTAAGTTACGTTGTTACAATTCCTTGGCTCCTTCCTTCTTTGAATTGTTAAACGTCCCTTTTACTTAGAAACTGAGAATTCTGACTGGCAAGGTTTGTATGCCCAATAGATCAAATTTAGAGTAGCATTAAAACTGTAATTAAACATTTTTAGTGCTTCAAAATTGAATTGTTCTGTAGCAGTCAGTAATAGTTTAAAACTATGCTACTGATACTAGCAGGAGCAATTGAACTAAGCAAGTGCTTATCACTTTTAAAAATCTTACTTTGAATATACAGCACTTTTGTTATTGTTTACGGTTACTTTTTTCCTTTCATAGCTAAGTGATTTTTATTATCATTTTATATTTGCTTTGCTGTAAAATATCAGTGGAAGAGCATTGGTTTGGGTGTGGAGGGGCTCTTTGTAGCCTTGTTTCTAGGCATTGTTCCAAAGTACACAGTTAAAGTGCTTTATAGGTCTTGTTTAGGGCAGGGCTTTTAATGCAGAGATCACCACTGAGTCCTTTTGATACAATTTTGCAAATACTTAGTTCTTGATCTTTATTTCAAACTCAACATTATATTTTTGTAGAGTGTGGCAGTTAAAAACGTGACTGTCCTGTGCTTTAAAGAGGAACAAGGAACTTCTCTATTTTTTCTGCATACATGGCACTTTTGGAGAAGTCTGGCAATGGGAGAGGAGGAGAGGACAGGAGAATTAATTGTATTAGAAGGCTCAGGAGGTCATCTTGCTGCAAGGAATGTTAAGCAGAGAGCTTCAGCTGGATTATTACGGTGAGGCTGTACACTGATCTGTTCTTCAGTGCCCATGACTGAAGTTTATGATGCATGGTAGATGCCTTTAGGCAGAGAATGAGTAGCCAGCTTTTCATTAATTTGTAACAGAGAGACTGGTGGGAACGTTGTTCCATACCATAGAGAGCCTGTAGTGAATTCCTTCAGCGTCAAGAAAGCTAAAAATAATACTCAAAAACGTGGGCTTTAGCCAGACCCTTTGTTTTCTGAACATCCATTTGCACAGGGGTTAAAACTTCACTATGAAAATAAGAAGAGCCAGAAGTACCTTCTCTCATCTTAGTGTAATCTTGAGACCATTAAGCTGTTGGATATATTTTGGAAAAGATTTAAAATCGGCCAGTAATGCTTATATATACAATATGCCTGGAATGATTTGGGGAATTTGTCTATGTGCAATTAACAGATTTTCTAAGAAAACTCATGCTGCTTGTAAGCTCTCCGCATCCTTGTAACTCTTTCTACGCTCCTTTCCTGTGTGTGCTTTCAGTGAGGGGTCTGGGGTGGATGATCCAGCCCATCTGTCTCAATCAAATCCTGTGGCTTCCAGTAAGCAGAACTGAGGAAGAACTGCACGCTAGATAAAAACCAGTTTTCCTCAGCTGCTGTGTGGAAGAGTAATGTTTCAAGAAATTTTAATTTCCACAGGAAAAGGAACCAAGATAAGAGACCTTGTCACAGCCCTTTGAAAACAGGGGTGGAATGGGTCATGGAGGAAGATATAACAGTGTGGGGAGAAAACAATGAAGCAACGAACTGCTGAAGGGAGCAGTGCTGATGCTGTAGCTGAAAGTGGCTGAAGGAGGCTAGTGGCAGTGTGAACAGAAAGCTTCTGAAAAGACAGCACTGAGAGGTGAGCTGGAAATCTTGGTCATGTAGAGATTTCTGATCGGGTCCCCAAGCATTTTGAAGTATGGGGGGGAAGAGGGAACTGAGGCAGGAAGCTGCCTTTATGGGCCCTTATAGGCTTCAGTGTCAGTGTGAAACTAGAACACATTTAAATTATTTTTAAATTAAGCCTTAAAAATGTACATTTGAAGCTCTAAAAAGCTTCAGAGAGTGAAGATGTAAAAATGCTGGATGAAACTGTGTGGGTGTGTTTCAGCAGCATCATATTCCTAAGAAGCAAACTATAAATGGCAAGGATGGTGTTCTGGGCAGAAACCTGTCCCCGGTGGATGTTTCACACTTCTCAGGAGGCATGTCCACGCTAGAGTCTTTTCCTGCAGATAAACGGAAGCACTCTCTTCCCTACCCCCCCAAAAAAAACAAACCAAAACAAAAGGAAATACAAAATTATTGGAGTAGTAAGATGCTGTCCTGCTCCCTGTGTGACAACCAAGTTGTTAGGGCACTTAGCCATGAAGTGAAAAGTAGATGTGTTTCTCACTGCGAGGTGGTTCAGGTTGTCCCACCTTTCCTGGCCAGAGAGGAGAGCTCAAGCTCTTGGCTCTCAAGAAAAGCGTGGAGATTACCACTGCTCTGGAGACTCTTCTTGTGGCCTTAAACAGTAGAAAAGGACTTTTTGAAGCCACTGCAGTGGTTGGTTGTGATTGGTTTCAGTGGCCAGGGTATTGTTCATGTGTCTGTGAATTTGGGAAGAAAGAAAATGAAAATACTCAACGTTAGGTTAAACTCCACAACCTATGAAACGAGCTATATGCACATAAGAATGTTCAGCAAGATGGTTTTTTTTGTGGTGTGCAGGTCTGTGAATAAAGCTCCTGTCACTCACTTGGGTGAGGGTCTGGCAAATATAATTCCTTAACTTTTTTTTTTTTTTTTTTTTTTTGTAATTTGCAGAAATAAGAAAGATGCGTTTATCAGAAAAAAAGTCCTTCCTTAAAATTCAGACAGGAAACAAATGGAAATCCCATTAGCATTGTGTTGAACCAGGAAAATACTCTTAATTTACAGATATTCTTTTGACTGAATACACGAATATATTTCTTTTTGTAAAATGGGGTGGAATAGTTGAATTTAAAAGCTGTTTGGGGCAATGTAAACATATTACTAACCCCAATGCTTAAGTGAAGGAAATGTGTCCTTCATGCTTTCCCTTAGGAGTTAATGCTTTGCATTAAGTGGTAGTAATTTGCACAACCTATAAATAAAATAAGTAAACTATAAGGGACTAAAGGTATTTTTTTCTTCCCTTCTCTTTTAAGGAGTGCCCTTCATCTGCACTATGTGCACATAGTGCACAGCTGCACTATGAAAGAGCTGTATTCAACTATATTCAAAAGTACTAGAAGGAATTTATTGTTTTCTTACTCCTGAGCCTTAAATATATGTTCCTTTCATATTGTTATTTATGTTAATGATGATTTTAGAGACATACTTGATCAGTTGATAAATAGGACACTGAAACAGTTGATAAATAGGACACTGAAAGTTGCCATGAAAACTTTTTGTTTTGCTTTGTTTTTATTCTGTAGGAATATAGAAATTTTATTTGGTCTCATTGTTGGCTTCACAGCTTTCCTGCACAGGTCTCTCTTTCTTTTTTTTTTTTTAACGTTTCATCTAAGAGTATTAAGCACCCTTAGCATTCTGTCTTTTATAATGAGCTTTTTTCAAATGTAGACAAAAATATTCAACTTGTTTTATATAAGCATTAACAAAATTGGAAATTAGAGAAGGAAGGTTGCTCCTTTATTATCCTCAAGAGTTATTAAAATATTCTTCCACCTCCATTCTTTTTGCTTCCCATTTTAGTTTTATTATTAATTTGTTTAAATTATTTTTTTTCACTTCAGATCATCCTTGTTTCAGATCATCCGTGTTACAAATGGAAAAAAAATCCCTCCAAAGTTATTGTTTAAAAGAAGTTTTGAACAAGGTTGTCCTTCCACATAGGCAGAAGGATGACAGCTGCATCACTAACAGTGTAAGATTCCCCAAAATTGCTGTCAAGAAGCTCCTTGGCTTCTCTTCTTGTCCTTGCAATGTTGGATCACTGCTCAAACATGAAGACTCAGAGTGGCTTCCAGGTTGAATCTGTTGTTCTGTGGCTACAAAGGATGTGCTTTATGTTCATCTTCAGGCAGTCCCTATAAGACTTCATTTTTTCACTCTTCAGCTTTTTCTTGTTTTGGCATTCATTTCTTTGAATCATAGCATCACAGAATGGTTTGTTTTGAAAGGGACCTTAAAGGCCATCTGATTTCAACTCCCATGCAATAGGCAGGGACACCTCCCACCAGAGCAGGTTGCTCAAAGCCCTATCCAAGCTGGCTTTGAGCACTTCTGGGGATGGGGCATCCACAGCTTCTCTGGGCAACCTGTTCCAGTTCCTTCACCACCCTCATAGTAAACAATTTCTTCCTTATATCTAACCTAAACCTACCCTCTTATAGTTTAAAGCCACTCCCCCTTGTCCTATTACTACAGTTCCTACAAAGAGACCCTACCCAGCTTTTCTGCAAGACCTTTAGGTATTGGAAAGTTGTTATAAGGTCTCCCTGGAGCCTTCTCTTCTCCAGTTGAACAGCCCCAACTCCCTCAGCCTATCCTCATATGAGAGGTGCTCCAGCCCCTTGATCATATTCGTGTCCCTTCTCTGGACTTGTTCAAGTATGTTCACATTCTCCTTGTGCTGGGGACCCTAGAGCTGAACACAACACTCTAGGTGGGGTCTCACAAGAGCACTGTAAACTTTAAACAAAACTTTGAAAGGTTCTCAGTAAACAAGGCTTTGCCTTACAAACAGTAAGAGGCTGGTGGTGAAATCTTTGGTGAAGCCTATAACTGAAGAAGCCAGACCTGCGGTAGTAGGGTTCTTGAATGTTAATCATTTAATCATTCTGTGGTAGATAGTTAATAGGATTAGATAAAGGTTTAAAGGAACTGAAATCAATTCACTACTAAGAACTTTGGAGCTGCAAAACTGCATTAAACCTAAAAGACATGATTACTAATTTTAATGAAGAACATGCTTTTTGTAGCATAACATTCAACTTTGGTTTTATATACATGTAAAGTTTCCAGAATTTCCATAAGGCTTCTGATTTTGAAGATGCAGAAAGAAAAGGTTTCTGTTTTCCTTGTTTGTCATCAGCAGCTGCCTGTGAATTTTTTATTTTTTTTTGCTAGATAACAATTGCAAGCAACACATTTTAACAAACCAAATGTGATATGCATCTTTATATTACTTGATAGCGACAAAACAACAACAACAACAACAACAACAAAATACAACCCAAAAAACACCAACTGTGACTAAAGGCTATATGAAGTCTCTGGCCTCACAGGTTCCTGATCATTGATGCATGTAATTTTTAAAATTGTCAAAAAAGTGATTGAGGCAACCAACTACCAGTAAAAAGTTTCTTTGATCAGGCTTTTAAAACTGCCTGTAAATATTTGTGGAGTTTGATTGTAGTGTGATATAGTGTGATAATGGAAACATTGTAGGTTGTTTACAAAGAAAGTAATGTTGATGGTTGGAGAAAATGAAGTAGTGTTTAGTTCATAGATCTTTGATAAAAGTAATAATAAAAAGTTTCAGGACCAAGATGCTTCTAATTGACTTTGCAGGAAGCCATTGTGCATAGAGCCAAGCTTAATTATCAGTATGTGCCACCATACTGAACTGTTTGTCTTTAAGGTTGCCAGTGAGTACTTAGAAATGGGGTAAATAATTTTACTAAGCTTTTAACCTTACAAATAAGCCTGGAAAATGTACAGGGTTTTTATTCTTAGTTATAACAACAACAACAAAACAAGAAAATCTCGTTGGGAGCTAAATGTCGTGAGATCTCAGGATGTCTGCTGTGTAAAGTCTGTCTGTTTAGCTGTTTAAGTTACTTACTTCACCAAAATCCAAATGTAGGCTGGGAATGTTCAGAATTACAGATCTGTGTATTGTCTACCCAGAAGCAGGTTTTTCTTCATGTATCAATGTCAAGAGCCAGATGTTTATTTCCTGAGGGGCTGGACTCAGCCACTGCTGGTGGAGTTCAGGCTGTTATCCCAAAGAAAAGGAAATTTAGGCTGCAGAAACCACACATGGCTCCTGCTCTGCTGGAGCCAGCAGGGCAGGCAGGCAATTTCTGGATGAGGAGTGTGTGTTTCTGAAACTCTCTGTCTGCCAGAGACTCTTCAGCTATCCCTGCTCTGGCCAGACCATTTGGACTGTTTTCCCAGGTACGATTTACCACTCAGTTGTCTTTCTGTGCGGCAGCATGGCTGTGTCTTATCAGTTGGCACTTGATTTGCCTTTGATTTGCCAGGCACTTGGCAAATTTGAAAGGCACTTGGTTGCCTTTGATTTGGCTGCTCTGTGGGAAAAGCAGCAACATCCACATCTACAACCATGAGCAGGTGCCTAAGGAAGAGGAGTACAGGTGAGGACAAAGTACTGCATCAAAATCTATATTTAATTTGAATATGTTTGAAAAATCTTTGGAAAAAAAAAAAAAAAGAAGAAGAAAACAGGGAATGTATTATGAATTAAGTGAGCGCACAGTTCTGAATTAATTTGTATTTTATCTTACTAGTAGTCAAAATCTGTACTTTTTGTTATAGGGTGCCATCAGGGTGGGCTCCAAAAGTTCTGTTAAATTTTATAGCACCTCAAAGGAAGGTACCAGAAACACTGAGGTACTACTACCTATAAAGTGAAGGCAGGGGTCTCCATTCTTTTGTAGGAAATAGCAGGACTCTGGCAGTTTGCACTGAATAAATGTTGTAAATAGATTCCACCATACATCAAAAACATCACTTAGCTTTCCTGGAAAGTTATGGAAAAGTTGAATTCAAACCAGTTTAGCAATAGTACCACAGGGGCTTTGCATTTGTGATGGCTTCAGCTGTGATTCAATGAATGATGTTGCCCAATATGCAATGTTC